CCATGGTGGACTCCATGCGGGTGTGATTGTGATTGTTATTATATGTGTGATGCACGTTATATGATAATGCATGTTACTATTGCTGCATGTGATTGGAATCATCGTTCTAACACCGTTCTCGCTGAGAACGAGTTTACCGGGTTCAACCCAGGCTACTCACTAAGCAGTTGTGCTTAGCCCTCGTGGTTTTACATTTTTCAGATCACGAGGATTACGCCTAGCGCACGGACGACGACGGCCTGAGAGAAGCAGCATCATGTACGGGATTTTATTTTGAACTCCGGGACTTGTATTCCCGCATTTTGTACGGTTATGTTATGACTTTTCGGACATGTGTTGTTTTGCGATACTGATCGCTTGTATTTTCCGCTGCTTACTCTGGTTTGTTTAAAAATGTTTTTGGATTTCATATTTTTGCTTCCGCATTATTATTTTATTTTATATCGTCCATGTGGCACAGCCCGTATACTGTACACGGGTTACGGGTGTCACAAGATATATCAATCAAATCAATCACCGTGGAATCATTCAACAATTTCAAACAAATTCGTCAATCATCTCTACGTGTATCTCACACGTAGGTAAACAACTCATTCATGCTTGTGTCGAACACGAGGTGCAACAGTCCAAGCAAGATCCTTTGCGAGGACCTCAAGTGATCTTCATACTCATCATCGTTCACCGATATCACGGTTTTCGGTACCGGTTATCCCTACACCCACTCCAGACATCGATCCCCGATGCCGCCGACTGCCGGACGAAGCAGCTCTATGCTAATTCCCCCTCGCCGATCATCCGCCGCGGAAAATACTCATCAGGTCGCGCTCAAGTCTTTCAGAGTATATCCGTACCACCTCGCCGGGGGACACACGCAACTATTCGGGTCTCAGGTTTATTTGCCAATCAACGGGTGACACATGCAAATTCGAAGTCCGTTCCATGGCCAATGGAACATTGGCGCGGTTGCCAAAGAACCGTACTTCCTCGTCACACATTCGGGTGACACACGCAAACCCGAATATGTGAGTCGTAGGATGCCATAACCATCCGTTAGGGAAACGATGGGCCGATTGAAGATCGCCACAATCACAATCACATCTTCGCAAAATGATAATCGATCCAGATCGAATATCATACCGCGAAGATTTACAGTCAAGGTAATCATCGTGATACCATTCAAAAACTCGTCTACAATCACACACTGAACAGTACCCGAACCTACCCGAGTAGTGTCAGTGTTATGCCGTCTACCCTGACAAGGTTCCCCAATCACAAGAAGTCATGCATTATTACTTACCGTATTTGTTCTTATTTATTTTACTTATTTTTTTATGATTTATTTAATATTTTAAATCATCGGTCGATCAAACTACGTTCTGACCCATCCGGATTACCAGTTCGACTCGTCCCGAGATTGATACTTACCCGGTCATATCATTTGGTCTGAACTACGTATGGTCCAGTCCGAACCGAGTTTAGTCATATTTTGGTTAAATTTTGGCTTTAAGGTTAGACCGAGTCGGTCCAATTTCAGAATCGTTTGCCCCATTATTTATTTATTTATTTGTTATTTTTTCATGATTATTATTATTATTATGATTATTATTTTGGCAGCACGGGTTGATCCAGTTTCTGGACTGTACGGTCTTTTTGTTTGATTTATTTATTTATTATTATTATTTTATTATCATTTTTATTATTTTATTTAAAAATAAATTTTCTTTCTCTTTTTTTTTCTCAGGACTGGGTCGGTTCGGATTCAGACCGTCCGACCCAAAATTCACCATTCATTTTTTTTCACATTTAAATTTTTCGTGTTTCTTTGTCTGGAATCTCAGTCTGATCGGTGTGGGACCCGTCTGACCCGGTCCAGACTTTAACGTTATTAAAACATTTAAATCAACACAATAATTCATGGATATAAAATAATCATAAATATTCAATGAGTACGAATCAATAACAAATTTGCACATATACACACAAGTTCCGAAGACAATAAAAATAGAACTTTCGAATCACATCCAAATTCACTCACCTGGACTATGCCGATTATTTTTCGTGACGATAGTTTTTCTCCGGGTTAGATGAGAACCTTTCCTATTATTATTATTATTTTAGGCACTTTTTTTAATTCACCTTTTTTTTTACTATATTCTCTCTCTCTCTCTTATATAGAGAAATCATTATATTTTTTTAAAAAATTATTATATATATATATGCATAGCTTGTTGTAGATGCTAAAAAATGCTTCACGTGGACGGCAACTGCATAAATTGTTAAAATTAACAGTAATTATATATATAATCATCATTTTCATTAAATTTTTTCAGATTCTGTTAACTAATGCACGGATGTATATGGTAGTTATGCTAATTATCTAATCAATACGTTAGATAACATAATTCGAAAGTTTTTAACGAAAATGATTATTATGTATGTAATTATCATTAATTTTAATAATTCGTATAGACATCGGAAAAATTTTGAATTTAAGTGTAATTTTTGTCAAATTAAAAATATATGTATGAAAAGGTCATATTTTGCTAATTTTGCATAAAAAATATCATTTTACCCTTTAAAAAATATTTAACGTGACGATATTTTAGGTAATCAAAACTTTCGGAATAGACAAATACGATATCATTTAATAATTTTATATATCCTACTTATTAGAAATATAATATGTGCAATTTAAAGATTTAAAAACTAATTATATTTTTATAAAAACAATAAAAAACCAAATAGCTATATATTTATTTTATAAAATCGAAATCACTGAACTCGAATATAAACCAATACATCTCTGGGCATCCGCAGCAATGGTGGCGTAAGCACTGCCACATGTGGGGAGGGGCATTCACGTAATAAAGCGGATTAGTGAGCATAAAACAGTCCTTCGACCCCGCTGCAAAAAACTACAGTGAGATCTCCTCGACTTGTTACCGATCAAATGTGGGCCCAGCCTATTTGGGCCTTCGGCAAGGCCTGTTTCATGTTAATGGGCCTAACCCATAACCGGTGGACACAATCTCGGTGCCTTAAAAACTTCAACTATTAGTAATTAAAATAATAAATATAAATAAATGTGAGAAAATTAAATAGAATGAATCTCTTTGGTGCTGTGCTTTTTCTTTTCTCCGTCAAGGAAAAACTTTAGACCACAGAGGAAAATGACGGGAATGCAATGCATCGAGTCCTCCAAAATCACAAAAACATGGATATATATATATATATATATATATATATATATCAACAAAAACATTGAATGGATGGGTTCCTTGTGGGCAATGAATTTTGACGAATGCAATATCTTTGACGGTGTGTGGTGACGACGACTCAGTCAAAACATCATAATCCGGTTTTGGAAAAAAAACAATGCAAAATACTGTCTGTTGATGTCACAACATTTCAATTTTTAGGATAATAAGATCACACGGTGGTTATATTAGTCATAATATTAAATTTATAGTGATCACGTTAAATTATCATAGATACACTTTATATATCACATTAATCATTTGATGAAGTTATTATAAATTATTTAATATTATGAACAATATAACTAACATGTGACTATAGTGTTATTCTGTTTATATGGTAATATATAGAGAAATAATTGTAAAGAAATAATTGTAACAAAATAGAGTATTTTGGATAGGCAGACCACTCACTATGTCTTTTAGTTAATTTGTGGTTACACAATATTATTATTTAAAGAAAAAACAGATGATAAGAAGCACATAGTATTGACTCTTGAGGCCTAGAAACCAGTGACTAGCGTTCGTTGTTTACTCAGTTTCAATTCAATTATCAAAACTTTTTCATTTGAGATTTGATGTTTAATGGGTTTCTTCTTTTTAGAAAACAAAATGTTACTTTGGAAAATTCAATATAATTGTTATTATTCATATTTTATATCTTGTTAAACATAGTTTACCTTACCTTAATTAAACTATTTATCTAATGAAGAACCAAGATTTTGGTCCGTTAATGGTTGGAACTTTCAGAATCTTGTAAAAAAAAAAATATGTGTTCAAGCCATGTACGTAAAAGCAAGTTGAATAATATTTTTCTCAGAAAAAGAAACTATGGGTATTGTAATTACATGTAACTGGATTTAATACAAAAGAGAAAAAATAGAGTTGTGATTAACGTTTTCTCTCCAACACTATCGCTTTGAAATATATTATTCATTTATATATATATATATATATATATATATATATAAGGGAATTGCGTGATCACGGTGAATTTTTAAAAGTATTTTTTTAATTATATAATTTAATAGTAATTTAATTTTGAAATCATAATTCAAAACTTAAATGGACCATTCTTCTATCTTAATGTTATTATCACTAAACAACATTTCTAGATGTGCCGGTCCGAAGACGTGGGTTTTGGTATTTGGACTTTTTAACTTGAGTTCCATATATGGTAGGTCTTCCGTCTTCATGTCATATATATATATATATGCTTTCTATGAAATTCTATGATAAAAGTCTGTCTTCATGTCATATATATACATACATACATATATACACATATATATATATATACATATATTTGCTTTCTATGAGATTCTATGATAAAAGTCTGACAATTGTCCGTCTTCATGTCATCAATGGATAACTTAAAGAGTTATACACGTGTGTCAGTGTGTGTGTATATATATATATATATGTAAATAAACCTTCAAGTTGGTCACACAAAAAAAGTAAAAAGAAAAAAAACACTTGCGGGTTTTAACATTTATATTTTCACAACATCACCAACATAATATACTTAGGAAAAGGTTTCTTGGCGAACACACACACATATATACACACACATATTATAATGATGATGAAGCTAATTCACATGGAGATCGGGGGAAAGGAAAAGATTGAAAAGGACAATTAAATTTTATTATGAAATATAGAAAGAGCTTGTAGACTGACTTGCTCGTCTCCTTTAGCCCTCTCAATAAATATGTCTGCATCTTTGGGTGTTTACTGAACCACAGAAGACTCTTTCTCTTTGGAAACCAAAACCCGCCTCCCTCATATTCGAGAGAGAGAGAGAGAGAGAGAGAGAGAGATGGGGAGGGCTCCATGTTGTGACAAACACAATGTGAAGAGAGGACCATGGTCTCCTGAAGAAGATGCAAAGCTTAAAGACTACATAGAGAAACATGGCACTGGCGGCAATTGGATTGTTTTCCCACAGAAAGCCGGTATACATACAGACATATACATAGTACATACACATCCACGCGGTTCCTTGAAATCTGATTTCATAATCTTTAATGGGTTCTTTTTCCATTTGTGAACACATGCATACACATGGGGTTCTTGAGAGTTTTTCTTCTACGATCTCTACATGGGTTCTTCTTGATCAGACACATTTATGGGGTTTTTTAAAACTTTTTATTTGTCATCTTTGATGGGTCTTTGATTAGATTTTCATTTGAGTTTGGTCATAATATGTATGATGAAGGTCTCAAAAGATGTGGGAAGAGTTGCAGATTGAGATGGTTGAACTATCTGAGACCAAACGTCAGACGTGGAGACTTCACTGAGGAAGAGGACAGGATCATCTGCAGCCTTTTTGCTAGCATTGGAAGCAGGTTTCTTTGTTGTGTTCTTCTTCTCTTTGTTATATAAAAAAAAATAGCAATTTTATTATAAACAGCACCTTGGATATATAAACAGAGATGCAAAGAACATAACTCTCTTTCAGTTCCATGTAAAATCATTGGAAAGAAGTGAGAATTTATGATTTCTAGGGGTTTACTTGCATAGGAGATTAAATTGAATTCAAAATCTTGCAGGTGGTCAGTAATAGCAGCTCATTTGCATGGTAGGACTGATAATGACATCAAGAACTATTGGAACACTAAGCTTAAGAAGAAGCTTATTGCATCCATGGCTCCACCTCTGCTAAATCTACCATCATCATCATCATCATCATCAAGAACAACATCATCTACTTGGCCTCCATCGCCATCAGCAGCAGCAGCATCAATGTCATCACAGTACAACAACAAGATCAGTAGTACTCTTATTCCACAGTACCCATCACTATCAAGCCTCCTAAGCTCCAACACAGCAAGTTATCTCCCACCTCATGAGGGCATGATGATGATGGTGACGACAACAATGGGCCATCATCATCATCATCATCTTCAACAAGAAGACATGGGCAACTTGGTAAATTCACCATACTACAGCAACAGCATCATCATCAATGATGTAATGATGATGAGCCATCAAGAAGAGAGCATGAACCAAAGTACAAACAAAGGTGTAATGGACAGTGATGGAAGTGGGACAAGTACAACAACAGGAGCAGAGAAAATGGATCATAATAACAGTAATGATCATAGTGATGATGGGAAAATGTCATTAAATACATTGGTTGAAGATCATGGTCTGGAGGATATCAAGCAACTGATAAGCAAAAACTACTTGTTTTTATTTGATGACATGAAGATGGATGATAGATAAGTACTTCTTGATCCTGATTCCGACATCCTCATCTGTCCCTTTTCTGTTTTCCACATTTTTCTCTTCCAAATCCACACACACACATATATATCCTTTTATATTTCTACAATGTGTTACATTTTCTTCTTTTTTAAAAAAAATAAATAAATTTGGGATTATCCCACTGTTTATATTTTAAATTCATTTAATTATCATACCGTTTTCACATGGTTTGACCTGATTAATATTATATGGGTATGAATTGACAAATGAACATAATAAAATTTGTTTATAGAATTGATTTTTGTTGTGCTTATTCAGGGTGGTACGTGGGAGAACGTTAATCACTAGACAACTCTAGGTTTGGAAATGTGGAGGTCATAACTAAATTATATTATTTTGTGGAAATTATTTGGCCTATTATTGTTTTTTGTTCCTTTAAAATCAACTTTGAATATTAAAGTGTGATTTTTTGGGATCTACACGAAATTGTTATCAAATCAGTCAATATAACCAAACGGAAAATACCACACCTAATAAATTCCATACAAAAAAAGATGCTCCAATTCAGATATCTTATCCTGCAGCAAATACTCACAATCACGGTTCATCGTTATTCGTCTTACCCGACATTGAAATAAACACGAAGAGATCCCAAGGATAACCGGCCGGTTTAGTCAAGGGTACATTTGGCATTTACGGTATTAAATATTGCATAATAACGTGATCGTTGTTATGTACAGTATATCACAGACTTGGAACAAAGAATGGTTATATACAAAGTCCGATCATAAAAAAAGAATCGAGGAGGATGAGATTAGTGTTCACTCACAAGAAATCCCATTGCAAGTAAACCTTCTCCACGATGCCTCCTCCGGTTCGAACGGCGAGATGTAGCGTTTCCGAGGCCGGAGGGACGCCCCAAAGGTACGGTACAGCCACTGTCATCGTCAGCTTTTCGTGTAATCCTCCTTTGCTCTCCTTTTCCGATGCTACAATCTTTAAGGACAGCACGAGAAAAGAACTGAGTCATAATCCGTTTTTCGGATGCAAGAAGAAGAGAATGATAAAAACATGTTGATACGTACGAGAGGGTCGCTAATATGACCCCAACCGTCAAATTATAGGGCAATTGCTGTTATTATCGATAATCAAAAAGTTTAGACAGGAAACGCAATTTATTTTTTGGTAATATTCCTAATTCTCTAAGCCTATAAGGAATATAGATACAATATATATAGCATACGAAGACAGTTCAATCACATTGATTTCAACCAAATTTTATATAGGGGCCAAAGAATTTAAGAATGACTGAGCGCAAGTCCGTACCTCTCCACCATGTTCTAAAACAGTGTCTTCGACAACATCGCTAAGCATCTCGATAGAGCGGCAGAACCCCAAAATACAAAGCCTTCTCCCTGCATCTAGTCCCTGTGGCAAATGCATCGAGTATTGCATAAGATGATACGCTACAATGGAAGTGTTTTTCTTGTTCAACATGCCCGACGAAGAATTCCTTACATTTGTTGCAGCAATGTCAAACAGAGCTCCGAGGCATAGACCCTGGTGTGGATCCATGTAGTCACTTTCTTGGAACCTTTGAAATCTTTCTGGGGTCTTTAATCTCCATTGTTTCTTCTGTACAAAGAAATACAACAGAATCCTATAGTCACCAATTTCGGTATTGATAAGGATACTAAAAGCTGTTCCTCGGGAATACCATAACTTGAAAAACACATGAAATCGACATGACAAGATGCAACAAGGGAAATGAGTGGCGAGAAATGAAATGCATACATCGGATGACCTGATACGCCGTGGAACCATGTTGCCCCCAATCTGAATCAGCCCATCGGAAGTGAAAAGCGTCACGTCGACAGTT